ATAACAACATAGGCTTGTGAAAGCTGGACAGTGAATAAGGAAGACCACAGAAGAATTGATGCTTTTGAGTTATGGTGTTGCAGGAGAACATTGAAAGTGCCGTGGGCTTCCAAAAGAACTAACTTCCAAAAGATCCATTTTGGAAGAAGTGCAGCCAGAGTGCCCCTTGTAGGCCAAGATGACCAAAGTTCATCTTTCATACTTTGGACATATTGTCAGGAGGGACCAGTTGCTGGAGAAGGATATCATGTTTGGTAAGGTGGAGAGTCTGCAAAAAGAGGAAGACCCCCAATGAGATGGATTGGGCAAGTTGCAGCCATCGATGGACTCAAGCGTGGCAACAGTGAGGTTGGTCCAGGATAAGGCAGTGTTTTGTTCTGCTGTGCATAAGGTCGCTATGAGTCAGTACCGACACGATTGTACCTAACAACAACAAGTGTTGCTCTGAGTCCAAAAATGACTCGATGCTCCTCACAAAAGTCAGGAAATTCATTTCTATTCATTAAAGTCACACACCTGTGGCATTTGTTATAGTAGCACTAGATCACTACGTGTTTTGTTCTGTTGTGCATATATTCCCTATGAGTATGAACAAACTCCACAGCCCCTAATTATAACACATCAAGATCAAAGAGTTCCTCAGGGAATGGTTAAAGAGATGGAGACACTGCCTTGAGAAGTGTACGTGGAGGATTTGTTGAGAAACAATACCTTCACATTTTTATATTTTTAATAACATTTTCTGATTTTGTAGCAATATTGACTTACTCTAACTTTCATTATTTTTACCAACACCACGATTCAAAGACATCAATTCTTCAGTCTTCCTTACTCTTTCTCCAGCTGAAGTATGCATATGCCGTGATTGAAATTGTCAACTCTAATCCTGGTATAAAACCAAGAAAAACAAACCAATGATCGTGAGTCAACTCTAACTTCAACTCATGGCGAACCCCATGTGTGCCAGAATAGAACTGTGCTCCACAAGGTTTTCATTGGCCTGTTTTTTAGAAGTAGATCATCAGGTCTTTTTTCCAAGGTGCTTATGTGTGTAATTACCCAATCTTTCTTTAGCAGCTGATTGCTTTCACTGTTTGCCCTCACTTAGTTGTTGTTGTGGTGGTGGTGGTTAAGCTTTGTGTTGTTGTTAAGTTGTTAAGTGCCGTTGAGTCGGTTCCGACCCATAACGACCCTGTACAGGGTTTCCGAGGGTGTAAATCTTTGTGTAGTTGCAGCCAATTTATAGAAGCCCTATATAGAGTTTCTGAGGAGCAGCTGGTGGGTTTGAACTGACCACCTTGTGGTTAGCTATCCAGAATTTATCCTTCCCAGTAGGCATTTTAATCATTATTAACTAAGTAAATGTATACAGCTGGGGGACTCCTTCCAGGCTGTATGAAAGGCATTGTTTAATCTGGAGTCCTGATTGTGGGGCTGTAGGATAAGCACAATACTGCTAAAGGCAAATTAGACAGTCCAAACCCACCAGCCACCCCCTTGGAAATCCTAAACGTGACCCCTGTGAGTCCTAATCGGCTACAAGTCACTAAAAACAACTGACAGTCTGTGCAGAACCCTATTAACAGACCACTGAAGAACAAGAACCCACTTGACAACCGCACCCTGGGCTCCGCCCCTCTGCGGCCATTGGTCCTTTCAATTCTAGCCGGACCAATGGGCGGCGGCGGCGGCATTCGCATCGTCTCTGGGCAGACCCTACGCGTGTCGTAAGTGTGCGGGACTGCTTGCTTGGGCGAATTTTATGCAGTCCGGCGCAGAAGACACGGGTTTCCGTTCCGTCGTGCCATGAGCATCCCGGCCCTTCCCCGGGACCTGCAGCTACCACCTAGTCAGAGGACCCAGCGTGCGTTCAAAGGTGAAGGTACAGCGGCGGGTGCGGAAGGCGGGTCGTGAGCCGGAGGGGATCGGGCGGGGCGGTGGGCTAATGGGCTCCGCGAGCTCGGAGTTTGAGCACGCGTTCTGCAGACCAACTCTACCCCTGGCGTGGTGCGTGAGAACCCTGAGCCAGGCGCTTGGTCTCTACAGACCTGTCTTGGCCTTTGTGAAATGGGTAATAAAAGCGTAGCGCCCAGTCTGCTGTGACTCCGGATTGAACGCCTCCCCGCTCGCTGCGAGGTTGGCTGGCTTCCGCTGGGCCGTTGGTTGCGGAGCGGGGCCCGAAGGCCAACTGCGCCTGCGCTGGCCGATCTCTGGCGCCAGGTCCTGCGAGGATGGAGTTTTGAGTTTCCAAATTGAACACAAATTTCACCTTATAGACATTCTGGAAGCCTGGGGTTTCTCGGGTGCTAATTTCGTTGTCCTACTTGAGGGCAAAGAGAAAGAAACTGAAGTGACTCACCCGACCCATTTCTGACACCTTAGTAGGCAGACACAAGTTGGGGTCTGGTGTCACGCCCCTACCATTTAGCCTGGTGTTCAGAAACCGTTGTTTGAAAATACGGTATTTCAGATTCTTTACCATCAGGCAGTAAGAGTGTAATTATTTTACAGAGTGGTTAGCAATCTGATAATAATATTATTTCTCAAAGGCAAAGGAATTGGGAAGTTTTCTGCTCGTATACAACTTTCTAAGTAAAAATCTTCAGTCAACAATATTTAGCTAATACTTACCTGTAGATCTTTTCTTTTGTTATTTAGAGCAAAGAAGAAAACAACTCGAGCAACATTTATTAAAAAGAAAAACACTTTTTGAATATAAACAGGACCATCAGATACTATCCAGGTGAAATCAAATTTATTTCATTGAAGTTCTGTAAAATTATATATAAGGGCTGAGATAATTTTAAAATATAATTGCAATTCAGTATGTAATTTCTAAGATTCAGTACCCATATTTTTTAAATTAAAATTAAATTTAACATGTATTTTATTTAACATCCAAAATAATACTTAACATGAAATTCATAATGAAGGTTTACTCTTGAGATCTTTCACATTCATTTTGGTGCTAAGTCTTCAAAATCCGGAGTGTATTTTTACTTTCTGTACATCTAAATTTTGTTGGGAGTCCTGATGTGGCACTGTGGGTTAACGCGCTGCCTTTCAAAGTTTGTTTGAACCACAAGGTAGGTGGTTCACGCTCACCAGCCGCTCCTAGGAAACCCTATACAGGATCGCTATGGGTCAGAATTGACTTGGCACTTAACAACAACAACATCTAACTTTGGAGTGTTAAGTTCCCTTGGAGCAGTTTCCACTGATGGTGACCGTTTATAGGGTTTCCAAGGAGCGGCTGGTTTGAACCACTAGCCCTGTGGTTAGCAGTTAAGTGCTTATTCTGTAACAACACACCATGACTCACCACATTTTAAGCGCTCCATATCCACATAGCGTAGTGGTTACGAAGTGGGCTGCAAACTGCAAGGTCAGTAGTTCGAAACTACCAGCTGTTCTGCTGGAGAAAGATGAGGCTTTCTGCTCCCATAAAGATTTACAGCCTCAGAAACCCTGTACAGGGTCGCTATGAGTTGGAACCGACTCCACAGCACATAACCACCAACCACCATATTCACATATGTAGAGTCCTGGTGTGATGCTGTGGGTTAATGCGCCAGACTGCAAAGCCGTTTGAACTGCAAGGTCGGCAGTTCAAGCTCACCATATACAGGGTCGCTATGGGTTGTTATTATGTGCCGTGGAGTCGGTTCCGACTCATAGCAACCCTGTACAGGGTTTCCAAGGCTGTAAATCTTTACGGGAGCAGAACGCCTTATCTTTCTCCCACGGAACAGCTGGTAGTTTCGAACTGCTGACTTTGTGGTTCGCAGCCCAATTCGTAACCACTACGCTACCAGAGCTCCTATATATATGAGTTAATTCACTTTCTAAGGGGAAGAAATTTTAAAACAATATATGTGTGTCCCAGAGGGCTTCTAAAAGTTCCTGGAAAAATGCAATTGAAAGATAATTGAATTGTTCAGCGTTTGTGTGTGTGTGTGACTTGATTGATAGTTTACATGGGACAACATCAGCTTTATATTCTTCTTACCAAATTTCATTTTATTGCAATGATTACAATCCCCTCCTTGCATCATCATTCAACAGCATTTTCTTCCATTCCTTCAGTTTTTTACCAAAGGACACACCCCACAAATCCACCCCCTGGCCTTCAGCACACAGCCCCTCTCCCTCCCTGAGTCCAGGGTTCCTAGCCACTCCATCTCTCCATGTCATCATCTCTTCCTCCATCTCTGGCATCACTGCTTCTCTGGATAGGATCCCACACTCTGCTTTTCTCTCTTGATGGTCCCAGAGTCCTCCGGTCCTGGACTACAAGATCAACCGCTCCACTCCTTTTGTTACAAAATGTCTGCCTTTGCATTTGCAACACTCACAATCAGTCCTAATAGCAATTATTCACTATTGACCCACAAAGAGTCTGATCCCCATCTCCTTTCACCAGCCCCGTCTAGATAGGTTGGAAACCACTTCAGTGGAGAGTCTACCTTTACTCATACTCTCTGAAACTAGGCTCCCTCTTGAAAACTTGTAAGCCAGTCACTTTGTGCCTTTGTACTACAAAGCCACCCATTTTGAGTAGCCAATGTCTAAGTTGCCCATCCCTGACAACCCTTTGTACTGAGGTGGTGGGAATGATCCTTGCTGTAAAGATTAGTTCCCTCTTTTGAGCTACTACATCCATAAGTATAGGTCAGGTTCATCAAATTGTAGCGGATTACTCTTTTTTCTTCTTCTTTCTTCCTGTACTCGAGTTCTGATCATCCAGCCATTGAAGCCAGGTCAAATGCGTGTTATTTGCAAGTATGGGTGTTCTTGTGCATTTCCCCTCACTACATATCAGTTGGACACTTCTCTCCACTCTAGTCCTCTGGCCATGTCCTTGTCCTGGGGCCCAGGAGTTTCCAGGTCTTGTCATACTGTTGACCAACCAGGTCTCAGTCTAGGTGGACAGGAGTCTGTGGAACATGATTGGACTTAGCTCACAGCTACATGCTGTTTTTCCCCCACCTCCCCTTATTGGTAGACCAGTGTGGTCACCAGCAAGACCATATGCCTGCTCATGTATTCCCCTTGAGTCTCAGTCTTGAAGGGTGTCTTCCACAACTTTTAGAAGCCCCCTGGCATATACTAAAACGTTGATTTATGGGTTATACAGTGCTACAAAGGTCTGTCAATAATTTAGCAAAACTTTTCATTTTAATGTATTTGGAGCTTTTTTATAGGGTGACTCCCAAATGTTTGGTGATCATCTGTTTTAACTTCCATAAAAATTTCTTTGTTAATACTATGTGTAAATTATAATGATGGTTGTGACAAAACAAAAGTCCTTGGAAGTGTATATGAAATAGAAATACAAATGCCCTCTTATTCTTTAGAGATAATTTATGCTCTTTGTGTGCATTCTAAGAACATGGACTTTGGAATATGGACCTGAGCTGTTAGTTGTTGCTTATAGCTAAGTAACTTAGGGGCAAGTTACTTGGCTTCTTTAGAGTCTTTTACTTATACTAAAATGGGATTGTTGTTAAAGTGCCACCAAGTCTGTTCTAACTCATAGTGACCCTGTATAGGGTTTCCGAGGTTTTGAATCTTCACAGGAGCAGAAAACCTCATCTTTCTCCCGCAGAACATCTGATGGGCTCGAATGATGGACATTGTGGTTCACAGTCTAGTAGTTACACATATTCTTTGGGAACCAAATTAGATAGTCTATGTGTTTTTCCCATATCTTGCCTGGTATATAGTGAAAACTCAGTAAGTGGTAACTGTTGTTTCATATCTCTTAGTGACATTATATACAGTGTACTGGTTGTTGAAATAGATATTCTTTTGG